GTGTTGAGGTTCGAAATTAAAAGTCAATTTTTTTATTTGTTTGGTTTTAACCATATATATATATATATTAATTTAAGACGGAGCCTACAACCGGACTTGAACCGGAGGTCTTTCCCTTGCCAAGAGAATGCTCTACCACCTGAGCTACGTGGGGTCACGTGAAAATTGGAGACGATCGGACTTGAACGCATAAGTAGCGACCTGCACAAATGGTATAACGACTGCCCCGCTGTCTCCAACATGGGCTCAGTGGAATTGAATTCTCCGTGAAGATGCGGAGTACCAACGGCTAGACTGTAAGACCCCCTGCACCTTTACTATAGCTTTGCATTAACAACCTTGATTGAATATGTAGGTATCATCTTTAGGAAGAAATATAACTGATACTGAATATTGAAAATGAAGTGCATTCAAGCTATGTGATAAGGCGCTCGAGTCGGTTTTCAGCAGTTGATTTTCCTCACCAATGAATAGAAGTTAACGACAGAGGGTTACTATGGGGGATGGGGGATGCTCCTCTCACTCCAATAGTTATACAAATATATATTTGACAACATTTAGTGCGTTGTTGATAGGAAATTTACTGCCATCACAAAAAAGGAGAATAAATAAATAAATCTTATTGACAATCATGACATGAAACATGGTGTTGTTGTCCCAAAGGTTACGGTGGGCATGAGGCATGAAGAATTGTCATAACGTAATGGTTATCCCTTATCGTTGTTATCTCAAAGGTGTATCGTATCAACAAGGTTAGTTTGTACACCTTTGAACTGTTGAAATATAAAGCTGAATTTGAATGCATATACAACTAGAGTAAAAAAAAAAGTTTTTCATTACGACTTGCATTACCTCAATTGTCGGTATCATATTGGCTAGAGGCATGAACAATAACCATGTACACAAAGATATGGAATAATGAAGGATGAAACCACCAACCGGGCCCAACGAACATGAGGCGGCTCACGACGGAGGTCCTTCATCACTACTTGTTGGAACTCAATTGTACAACCTTCTTTCCTAGTGTAGTTAGTTTCTTATAATTGTCTGTAGCTCGTCTTCATTTCTACTCTTTGACTATAGTCAAGGAATATCTATATCAATTTTTTTTTAATCCATATCAAGCTCAATGACAATTGCAGTCAAATTTGATGTTCAATGAAGAAAGTGACATAATTTTTTATTTTTTTTTAAAGGGCGAAAAAAGTATTGGGTCAGGTTCCCAACGCGTATTGTTCCCAACGAATAGATCATAACAATTAGTAAAAAAAAAAGGAGAAAAAGATGTGAAGACAAGCATTAGGGCGAGCCCCACTAGCAAAGATAATCAAATTGTATCTATGGATTTGAACGTGTTTGTGCAAAAAATGTTGAGAATTGAGATTAAAGTATTTTTTTGCATCTTTGCTGACAAATTTGGATTGCGGAGCTTTATCATATTTTTTTTGTTAGTGAACCTTGCCTTCAGTAACAGTCACACACGCGCTTTTTATATATTAAAAAAAAAAAAAGGAGTCAATTTTTTTTATAAGTTATTATAGACAGCAGTAGGAATGAATCTCGGTCAAAGTGAATTTTTTTCGACTATATTTTTGACATGATAATGATTAGATGAATATAGGTATATTCGTAATTGCAGTCAGATTCGTTTTCGTAACGAAATCTCAAATGCATGTAAGAATATAATATTAAAATACGACAAAGTAATATCTCGAAATCCCGAAGTGCGATTTCAGTAACGAAATCGTAAACGCACGTACAAGTATAACTTCATAATACGACCAAGTATGATTTTGAAATCCCAAAGTGTAATTCCGGTAATGACCTCCCGAACATATGTGCGAATATAACTTCATAATATGACAAAGTAAAATATTGAAATCTCGTAGTCCTCGAAAAGTTAATGAATATAAATCATACAATTTCGAAATGCGACTAAGTAAAATCACAAAATCTATAAGTGTGATTTCGCTAATTAAATATTGAACACACGTACAAATATATGTTCAAAATATGACTATGTAAAATTTTGAAATCCGGAAGCGCGTTTTTTGGTAATGAAATTTTGAATGCACATATATAACTTCGAAATATGACTAAGGGAAATTCCAAAGTGCGGTTTCGGTAAAAAACCTCAAATGCACTTGCAGATATAACTTTGAAAAATACGACTAAGCCAAATATAAAACCCCCAAAGTGCAATTTCGATAATGAAATCTCGAATGTACATGAGGATATAATTTTAAAATACCACTAAGTAAAATATTAAAATCCCAAAGTGCGATTTCAATTCGTTGATATATCTTAATAATACGGGTAAGTAAAATCCTGAAATCCCAGCAGTGTGATTTCGGTAATGAAATCTTAAACGCTCGTGCGAATATAACTTCGAAATACGACTTGGTGAAATCCTCAAATTTCGAAGTGTAATTTTTCTAACGAGATCCTGAACGCACGTGCTGATATAACATTAAAATACAAGTAAAATCATGAAATCCCACATTGCGATTCCAGTAACGAATTATCAAATGCACATGCGAATATAACTTTAAAATACGGCTAAGTAAAATCATGAAATAAAAAAATGCGATTTCGCTAACGAAATCTTTAACTCATATATAAATATAACTTCGCAAGGTGACCAACAAAATCATGAAATCCGAAACTGCATTTTCAATAACCAAATCTCAAATTGACGTGTTGATAATATGATTAAGTGAAATCCCGAAGTGCAATTTGGGTAACGAAACATCGAACGCACGTGCAAATATAACTCTGAAATACGATAAGTAAAATCATGAAATCCCAAAGTGTGATTTTGGTAATGAAACCCTTAACGCACGTGAGAATATAAGTTCACAAATATGACTCAGTAAATAATGAAATTTTGTAGTGCGATGTTGGTAACGAAATCTCGAACGCACGTGCATATATAACTTTGAAATGTGGTTAAGTAAAATCATAAAATCCGAAGTGCAATTTCGGTAATAAATTTGTAATGCACGTGCGAATGTAACATTAACATATGATTAAGTAAAATAAAAAGATCCCAGAGCGTGATTGGAAATCCTGAAATTTAGAATGCATATACATATATAACTTCGAAATATACATAAGGAAAATCTTGAAATCCCAAAATTCCCAAATCTCGAAGTGCGACTGAATAACTCAAAATTTCAAACTCACGTCAATCTATAACTTTGAAAAATCACTAAGTTATGACTTTTACGTAAACTTTTAAGACTTGCTCATCACTTGAATTAATATTTCGATTTTTGAAAACATGGATTCACAAATAGCAATTTCATCAACACAAAACACGAATTCAAATTTAAAAATCATAAATTCGCTAACATTATGCTAACTAGCTTCATTGTCCAATTCGACGAATTTTCGAGAGTCCAATAACCATGAGTGGGTTGTAGTCCAAAATTTAGGCGATACGTGATATGATTGAAAGCAGTGGGGAAAAACTTGTATTTAAATTGAATCAGCTGTGTGAGAGGACCAAAGACTCTGAACACAAAACACCATCATGCTTAGCATAGTTGGGGTTATTGCGGGGGGGGGGGAAGGGGCATCGGAGCCCACCCCCCCCATACTTAACAACGTCACACACTTGAACACTGGACCCGGACGCAAAATGAGACCATGCTTAGCATAACCTCTCTCTTATTGCATTGGGGGAAGGGGTGTGGGGGAGAGGGGGACGCTGGGGCGGAGCCCCTGCTCCCCCACACTTGAACGCAACTTAACAATGTCACTCGCTTGAACATGAGAAACACTTGTCCACACACAATGCAACTAAATCAACAAGTGAATACTTGAAAGCATTGGACCCAAACGTGAATTAAAAATATCATACGGTGGAAGATGAAATGCATATACCCGTATTTCCCACATTTCACATTATAAAGGTTTCTGCAAATTATCCCTTCCTTGAACATCACTATTGCATGGGGGGGGAGAGGGCCCCCCCACATTTAAACATGACTTCACACAAACGCTCAAAAGCGTTGGACCTAAACTTTCTTCTACTGTCCACCATGCCTAGCTTTATTTTGTGGCCCACCATGCCTAGCTTTCTTTTGTGGCCCACCTTGCCTGGCCCGAACCCCGAACGCAATGGCTCGAAAGCACCCTCCAGGCTGCGCCACCACACTTGGCGTGGTAGAACAGTTGGAGCAATTTTACTTGGATTGTGTTTGGCTTTGACGCCATGTTGGCTTTGTTTTTCGAGGGTTGGATGTGTAAGGGCAGCAGTCCAGATTTGCGCATTCTGCTCCTTGACCCCAATGTCCCAAAGTCTGGGTCTAAGCTGGGTAATGGTCCCGATACTTCGCTTTGCGGGTTGTTTATGGAGGGATTCCCGGCCTCCATTTGTCTGGGCCCTCTGGGGTGCTAAATAATGGAAAATTTTCGATATGCCCCTGAAATTTTGGCGTGTCCTTCCAACGGCGGACGTACTCTGTCGTGCCTCTGGGGCCTCTGAGATTTCCTCCAGGCCCTTGTCAGTGAGGGATGAAACTTTCCATCATGCCCCTGTGGCCGTTGGTGGCACTCGTGGCCCTTCCCCTGGCCCGGGGAAGGGATCTACCGGGTCATACTGGAAATTGGAACCGGCACCGGTAGGGGCATAATTGAACATCTTCGGGATCAAAAAGAACACAAGGGGTTTTCCCGAAACTTCAATAGTTCTCAGAGGGGGACGAGAGGATAAGTTGGCCGTCAGAAGGGCATGCCTTACTTCAATCAAACTTTCAGGGGCATATCGACAAGGTTTCGGAAAAATGAGCTGAGGGCTCAACCCCCTCCCGGCCGCTTGGGGGGCAAATGGTAAATGGCTCTGCCCAGTCGGCGCTACTACAGTACTGGCGCTACTACAGTACTGGCGCCTGCTTCGTAAGGCTTGCCATCTGAGCAGTACCAGGTAGTATGCGCAGAGAGCGCCGTGGCGTGCCCCCGAAACTAGATATTTCGGGTCGGGGTATTGGGTTTGGGGGTCGACAACTCACCTTCAACCCGCCATAGGCAGTCGGCAGCTACTACCCCGAATTTGTCCTTGTCGCTGTCCCTGTCCCTGATCGATTCGACTACCCGTAGCCTGCGCGCATTCAGTTCTGTTCTGTCCTCTGATTCGGACGTCGGACGTCGTCGGGGCCGTCGGAGTACAGTTGTTGGCATAAGGCACGGGTCCTTCTCCTCGTGTGGGGTCGATCGAGCAGCCTGTCAATCTATAGATCAATCTAATCGATCAATCGACAAGTCGATCAATCAATGCCGCCCGAGCCGACGTCGATTGAATCCGACGGTCAATCAATCAGCTGATCGCTGTCCTGCTCTCTGATTCAGACCAGCAGGTTATTGATTGCCTTGAGCGCCCCGCCGCTTTGTGAGCTTGTTGAAGTATCTGGTTTGCTTGCCGCCTGCAGCCCGAAGCTACAGCTATGTCGCCTTCACTGGAGCTGTCAGGCGACAGACAGAGCGGTCAAGATGTCAGACTGCAGAACGGTAGGAGTACTGTGTTCCTGTTCCCCCTGTTGACATTCCCCCTCCTTAGTAAGCAGAATCGGGATGTTATCATTTTTTTTAATAGTTCTTTTTTTTTAAAATTGTTATGTGTTATTTGTTTTTGCTTGCTCTTTGTCTTCCCACCTCCTCTCTTTCTTTCTCCTTGCTGCTTTCGATTCCTCTATCCTCCTTGTCAATCTCTTTGCTGTTCGCTTCTTCCGCACGTCTCTTCCTCATTCTGACTTCTCTGTAGTTCTTCTCCCTCTTTTCTCATTTGTCCTCATTTCTCGGGATCATTCTCACTTCTTTGACCTCTAGTTCTTCGGTCTTTTTCTCCCCTGCCCTTCTTTTCCTCTCTTTTCCGTCATCTTCAGCGGCTGCTGCATTTCCTTATGTTACTTCTCCTCTTCAGCCGCCGCTGTCTCTATCACATATTCCTTCCCATCCTCTTCTTCTTCGTCGGACGGCATAAGGGCATTTGCTTCTGCGTTCTTCTCTTACACTCACTTTCCTTTTCGTTCTCCCGCTCTTTTTTTATCTCCTTTGCTTCTTCTCTCTTCTCGCTTTAGACATTTTGCAGTCTCTCACCTCCTCCTCCCCCTCCGTTTCCTTCCTCTTCAAACGGAGTTGTTGTTTGTTCCCCTCGATCTTGGTCAGGGCTTGGGGGGTGAGGGATGAGGAAGRGWKAG